TAATGCTACATTTTACTGCAATTTTTTTGCCGTTCCGGAATTTCGATTATCGGTATATCCATTGATTTGTAAGCTGTTTTGTTTCAAAATTTAATAATGTTTGCCGGAAAGTGCCAAGATTGATTTTTAAGAAGAAGCAATCTAATTGCGGCTATTTTTGCATGGAATACATCAACGGATGTTTGTCCATTGCATAGAAAAGCAATAAACACAGGAGAAACAAACGTGATGCCTGTTTGTAGAAAAAAAGCTCAAACTGCTAAAACGACTGAGTTACGTTGATGAAAAAAGGAAAAAATAACGAACAAAAAACCCTCATCTGTAGACAACATTTCTTGGAAGTATTTTCAGAAACGTCAATAAATCAACATCATTTCCTTTCTTAATCAGATTTTTCAATTTTTACCGTCTTGAGATAGAATAGACTAAGAAAAAAAAAAGAAAGAATTAAATGACCTAAACAATTAGTGGTGACTTATTTGTAAGAAAAATAATATTTGAAGTATTAATTCTAACCGTTAATATCGGTGCATTGGTGATGCTATACTGTGGTATTCAATTTTCTTTTTTTTTCTTTCTTCGTATTTATTAGTTTCTAAAAGCTCTAAGTAAAGAAGTTTAGTAAGTGTTCTTTTCTGTTTATTGAGCCAAAACAGATTAGAAGTTAAAACGGTGTCATAAGCCTGGTGTTACCAGCCTCACTAGCAATATTAATAGTTATTTTATTAGTGATTTGTTCGATGATCAACTAACGAGTTTATTGTTTTTTCCAGTATTCTGATATAATTGTTAAAAATAATATTTACCTAATAAATTTAGATGTCAACTACTTGTATCTCATGAATTAAGAGTTCTCATAAAGCCAACTTGATTTCCCCTTTTCTCGTCATCGTCTTCTCTCTCTCCCACCCCCCATCCCTTCCTAAAAAAAAATTCCTCATGGTTGTCGGCTGTCGTCAACGGAGATAAAATGTGATGTGTTTCCTGTGAAATCAGAATGAAAAAAAAAACAACTGATTAGATTCAGCGTTTGCTTTTAAAATGGCAAAATTAAAGCAACAGTTTTTATTACAATTCACTCTAAATTTATTAAGTTTTAGCAATTCAAAAAATTCAAGAGAAAAAAGAAGAACCATGACGTGTACTTCTTTTACCCTTTATAACAAGCTAAAATATATTGCTTTTCTTTCTTTCTTTTTTTTTTTTTT